CCCCCTGGCGCGGCAACTAAAAGCGCAATCGGAATCGCTCAACACCACCCTCCACACCACCGACAAATCCTACCTGGACCGCGCCCTGGCCGGGCTGGACTCCAACGTCAGCGGGCTGGAGTCTGCCAGCAGAAAAATGGGGCTGTTGAAGAGGATGAGCGAGGGCCAGGGCTGGTGGGGCAGGATCATGCTGTATCTGTGGATCTGGGCCCTCTGGGCGCTTGCCTTCTTGCTGGTTTTCGTGGGGCCTAAGTTTAGATTTTGAACACCCTTTTTTTTCCCCCATGTTAAGATCGAGTTTTTATGGGGGGGGGGACAAATCGTGGCGTGAGCGAGGGACCACTGTTGTTGGGTGCTCTAGGAGGAGGAAGATGAGAAATACGTTGGACGAGAAGGAGAAGGAGAAGAGTGAGCGAGTAAGACGCACGGAAAAGTTAAGGACTAAATACAAATGGCCAGCAGCTAGAAATGCAAAGGGAGCATGACCGGGGAAAGAATTGACGCCTCGAATTTTTATGTGATGCAAAGTTCCTTTTCTGGTTTGTTTGATGATTGTACAAGAAGTCTGTCCCTTCCCAACTGATCCTTCGCGACCAGGAACAAACCCCCAACTCTGTCCAGCCGGCCGTGGGGGATACAGCCAAATCGCGTCCACACAACAAAGAAGATTCAAAGACATGAACATGGAGGTGTTCTAAAGCAAAGGATAATACTCCGAGTCCCTGTTTCCTAAAGCCTTGGCTGCTGGTGACGACCAAAGATACCAGTTACGCTGGAGACGAGGTGACGGAAAGCAAACGCGTGTGTGTGCAGAGCAGAAACCTGTCGCTGAAGCATAAGTACAATTTGTTGACTGTCCCCTTTTCCGATCCAAGACCCAATGCCTGAAGAAGATTTGGTCAAGACGACGCGGGCTGTTGGCGACAGTGGTGCAATCGCCGAGGTCATATGAGTCCACAAAGTCGAAGGTTTTCCTGTATGATGATGTCTGTAACAGAGTTAGAACCATTCATCTCTCAGGCATATATTAGTTTACGTACCGTTGACGGCAGCCATAACGAATCTAATCTGGGTGGTATCCGTAGCGCAGGTGAAGTGGGTATAAACTTGCTTTGTATCGTGTTGATTGAGGCTCACAAACCGGTTCAATATATAGTCACATGCGGCAGCATAATCGGGTCCACCTGTCTCCCAGTCAGAGGGACAGTTCTTGGGAGGATCCGGTACAAAAGGGTGCCCAGCAAACCAGGAATGCGTACCTTCATAATCTGGGAAATAGTTCTGCATCGGGCTCACAGGTAGCTTCTCTTTGAAGCGGTCAATCTTGTTTAGGAATAAGATGATACTCGTCTTTGTGAACCATCTCGAGTTGCAAATGCTGTCGAAAAGGGTAAGCGCTTCCTGCATGCGGTTGACCGACTCGTCTTCGAAAAGAAGTTGGTCGTATTCGGAGATGGCAACCAAGAAGAGAATTGTGGTGACATTTTCGAAGCAGTGAATCCATTTCTTTCGTTCTGATCGTTGCCCACCAACATCGTACATACGGTAGGTCAGCTCACCAATGTGAAAGGAGGTCTCTGTGATGCCGGTTGTCTTGACTCTGGAGCGAAGGATATCCTGATCGTTGGGAACGTAATCGGGCTGTGCGATGCGGGAAATCGAATCAAAGTAACTATCAATCAGGTGAGCTATCAGATCAAAGGGCTTGAAAAAGCGTGTGGCTAGTGGCTTACTATCTTGCAGAGTCATTGAGCTGGTACTCTCTCGATCGGCTGAAACATTCTTGTACGCCAGCATCTTTCCAGAGAGCCTCAACAGCAGTTCCGACTTCTGGAGCAAGGACATCTCCTTCGATCTGCGGTGGTTGCATGAAAATGGTCTGGACGTGGAACTCGGCTCGCGGGTCGTCAAGAGGCAGCTCTAGTGACTCCATGGCTTCTAGAATGACACGCATTGACTGAACAGTGTTGCTGTAGATGATTTCTTTGAAACTTTCTCGTTCTTCTCGGCTGTATCCGTTATCGTGGATGAGCTTCATCTGCTTCAGAATGGTCGATTTGCCTGACTCTCCAGCTCCTGCAATGATGTATCAGTGCCGATTTGGCTCCACAATCAATATTCAAGGTGTGGCCTTACCAAGGAGGAGCATTTTGATCTCATTCCTCTGGCTCATCTTGTCCTTTTTCAGCTGCGTCTCGATTTCTTCATTTCGCGCTCTGCCCTCCTTGTCCTCTGTGCTCTGTGTACAACCCATCCTGAGGAATTCAATACGTATGACAGATGGAGCGGAAAATGAACGATGACTTCAACCTGCATGATCATAAAAGAAGAGGTCAGCACACAGCGAAAGAGAGATAGATGAAAGAGGTAGAGCGGTGTGTTGATGGCGCAAGAGTATTCCGGATATGGCCTTGTCGGCGCAAGCTTGTGATATTGAAGGATGTATGTTCTTACCTTGTGCGCAGCCCGAAGGCGTAATATGCCAGTCGAGAGTGTATCTGCCTAAGCAGCACGTATACTACGAGTAGGCAGATGTCGGTTGTCTGATTGCTCTAGAGATTGGTAATGGGGGCGAAAGGGGATGAACGGGAGGTTGGTGAACAGCAAAGGAGCCGAGCCGAGCTCCTTCTTAGTATAGCGTTAGATGATGCGCCTCAACGAGTGAATAGCGGTGCAGTGACTGAGAACATGCAAAAGACCTGCAGTTGATTGAAGATCTCGGTGGAAATAGAGATCAATCTTTGACAATGGTTAGATGGTAGGCAGCGCAGTTCAGTTCGAGCCAGAGTAGGGTGGGAACGGAGAGGAGTAATTTAGCGGTGGATTAGGCAAAGGAAACCTAGACTAAGCATACATTAGTGACAATTCTGGCAAGGATGGGCCCTTTCGTGGTGGCTTCTTCCGTTTCGAAGCAACAAAAACTGCCGCTTCCCAGTAAGCTACGCTTGGCTAACTAACTTGGGTTGACTAACTGGCGCGAACGACTTAAGTGGAGTGGCTGCCCGGCGAGCAATGCGCAAGTTAGGCGGTCTGACCGCTCTTGGGTTTGAAAACCTGCCATTAATAATATGGTCACCGACCACCCCCTTGAACCAACATTGTCACTTGCAGCTCAGAGTCGAATAGAGTTCACCCACTACCCAAACATGCGCACTGCAGCTTTGTAGAATGTACATCTCGATATTCATGTATGACTAATGTTTTCGATGACATCTAGGCGCCATTCAATCTTTTGTCCTGTTGTCCACTCCGTACGTGACTGCTGATGTTATCTGTACTAACTGGGAGTCAACTGTTATTGATAGGCCATCATCGATCAAGAAATGACCAAGACCAGGCTTGTTTTCAATAAAGCGTTTCATCGACCGGCCACCCCGGCTGAAATCACAACTCTCATCGTCGATGACAGGCTACTTAGTGTTGCGTGACTTGTCCTCTGGGAAGTTTCAAGCCTCCCGCAAGTGCTGGTTACACGGGACCGGATAGTAGCTCTGTAACTAGCGGACGGTATAATTCAGAGGGCTGCTATGCTGAAGTCTCAGTCAAATCTTGTAGCACCTTCCCTTGGGGCGTTGTTGGTCGTCTTGTGCTACTCTTGGTATTTCGTGTACAGCAGGCCCATCAATGCTGCCCGTAAGCTTTTCCAGTACTTCGGAAGCAAGTGGCTTTTCGGATGTTTCTATTCAGCGTAATCAAGCGAGGATGACATCCAATGCCTTGGCTGGCAAGGGTTCGGGTTGGCCGTCCGATGCACAACCTCCTGCGCCCGAGAGATCTCAATAAGCTAATCATGGACCATGCTATCAGTCACTGCATCTTATCATGTATTTACGAGTAGCTGCACTGGATTTTTGGCTGGAGGCTCCCAGCATCTTCAGTGCAACCGGCACGCCCCGGGCCCAATGACCTTCAATGTAGAACAGTTCTTCCGCCAATCAAGGATTCCAAGTCAGACGCGGAGTTCTAACCCGTCATTACCGTTCCATTTAAATCAACATGGCGTACGAGATGTCGAGCATGAAGCATGTCGGCTCACACCGTATGGCATGGACCCCATTTGAATTGCACCATGCTGAACACCCTTCCAGCATTCAACCACAACCAGTCTCATGAAGCAGAACGAGAATATGACCGCCTTCGGGATCTGGCGCGACAGGAAGCAGCTAAAAGATCATCGTGTTTCGACAAGGTTAATCTTCATGCGCGTGGCTTGACATCAATTGTAACCTCGAACAGGCCCATCAAGCTTATGAGCGTAGGGACGCAGGAGCCGCCCATGCACTATCTGAAGCTGGAAAGAGGCATGGGGCTCAGATGGACGCCTATAACAGACAAGCCTCGGAGTTTATCTTTCGCGAGAACAATGCAGAGGGCCGTGTGGCCTCTGACACGATAGATCTCCATGGACAGTTCGTCGAAGAAGCAGAAGACATACTTGAGGAACGCATAAGATACGCTCAATCAACTGGACAAACGCATCTCCATGTTATTGTTGGCAAAGGAAACCATAGTCCTCATCACATTCAGAAAATCAAACCAAGAGTTGAAAAAGTGTGCCAAGAACTCGGTCTCCAATACCAGACTGAGGCCAACGAAGGGAGAATGTTTATCAACCTAACTGGTGGTCCAGCTCATTCACCGCCTCCCACTCATGCAGGAGGTCAACAGTATCCTACTCACTCGGTTTATCCAGGTGCACAGCAGCAACATCATCAGGCACATCGTCCCCAGCATCAACAAGCACATGGCCACCAAGGGCAGAACGATGAGGTGGAGAAGATGGTCAAGAAGTTCTTGCCGCGCATCCTCCGAAAACTGGAGAAACAATGCTGTGTTGTGATGTAATCTGTCTCAACTGACGTTGTTCGTGGCAATGGTAGAGTCTAATACTTTGGAGCTGAGGTCACAGTTGCAGAGAAGCGTGACCGAGCACTAATCTGCCCAACCCACTTCATCCCAATTTATATTCAATGACAGCTTGGACAGTACAGCGTCTCCCAATTTCTGCCGCAACGTCATCTCCCGTCGTACTCACAGACTGTACTCATATCGAGAGTATCACTTCCTTGGTTGCCAGCAAGCCTCGACTTTTGTTCTTGGATTCATCAGAATCGCACTCTCCTGGTAACAGAGCATCTTTGAGACGAACGCTAAGTAAGTGCTTCTATTTCCTTTAGGTGAACCTGCTCTCTTATCAACTATTTACCTGATGTACTGGTCACCTTCATCTACATTATATTACAATTCGCCTTTTACCGTCAAAGACTTGGTTCGTAGCTTACCTTGTTGACACCCTAGCAATATTTAGTTTTATTTGCTTTCATTTTGATCAATCTCTACCTTCTTCTGACAACAGCTCAGGTCCGGTGATTCTACACCTTTGAGCACCATCGTAATTGTATCTCAATCAAGATGAATTCAAAGCAAGCATCTTTTGACTATGCGAAATTCAACGGACATCAAGTCTCAAAGGCTGTTCTCATGCAGGGTTTTGGCATAACCAAGCCACAATGGGACAACATTGCAAAGATGGTCATCAAAGACCTGAGCAAGCACAAATTCACCGCACGCGACACATTCCAAGCTAAGGCTTGCAAAGAAGTTCAGGAGCAGGTCGCTGTTAACATCATCAAAGAGTTTCCGGAGCTATCACTTCATGTCTCGGAGCCATGGCTGAAAAAGGGTACCCTACAGATTGTCAGATCAGTACATTATGCTCGAAGGGTCAAGAAATCCACGCCATTGAAATCCAGACCTTCTACAGGCAAGGCTTCGACTTCTCCTTTGACCAAAACTATCGCCTCCCCAAGTACGGTGTCTTTCGATGCTGGACTTAAACGTATGGAGTCTCAGGACGAGCCCGGGTTATCCTTTGCGTCAGCCATAGCAGCCGCGTATGCTACAAGCCAGAAGCCAGCTGCCATCTCAGGTGATAATCCTACCTTATCCAACGGGTCAAAGGACGCACACGCTCAGCGCATCCTCTTCGATCCACGTGTTGCTCAATTTAAGATGCCTGATACGAGTCCTGCTCCACGTGCCACTGCTTGGGAGAAGAATCCTAAACCTCATGGTGATACCCCTAAGATGCCAAGCCAGATTACTCCTGCTCCAAAAAAGGATGTCCATCCAGACCTCAAAAAGATCCAATTGATTGCCACAATAGTCCAGGACCGGACAGATAGCTCTCTAATCAACCTAGGTGAGCTATTACTCAAACAGGATCGACTTGGGAAAGCCATCTCGTACTCTTCTCTGGAGGACATCACCGACGAGGACTGGGAATACTACTGTTATACTTATCTGCCAAGCGATCTGGAAAGAGGCTTTATACCTGGCACTGACAAGATATACTTTGACAACGGAGGAGATGAGATGGTCAGAGTCAAGAACGCAGCCAATTGGCGTGGAGCAATGGTTGCGATGCAGAAAGCAGGGCTTACGCAATTCAAGTTCTACATCAAGCAGCCAGTCAACAGTATGTCTATCCTACGATATCACTTGATAATGACTGACTCGTGGCAGGAGTCTACATGAAGATTGAGGATGACTAAGAAGGCAGCCATTGGGCTTTGGGCAGCGTCATAAATCTTGTTCGTGCTGAGCGCTTTTCCTTGGGATGAGGTCGCGTGATTCGCTCAAGTTTTCATACAGCGTTCGAGTGTCTTGCACTCAAGGACAAGCGCCTACGAAGCTTTCATTTTTTCTCTCTCTCAGAAGCAGGTCTTCTTTTCCTATCTGCATTATGAGCGATGTATCTAGGCTACGATGCTATCTCTCGCGGTTCTCGACAATTGCTTGATCTGGATTTCCTATCCTTCAGGCCGCTGATTCATGCACATGCGTGTTGATATGGCTACGCTTAATTTAAGTGCAGCAAAATAACAAATCTCGTCAATCCATCTCCATACGTCCACACCCAAGTGCCGTAAACTCTGACAACGAGGCCGCCTCCAGCCCAAACATTGATGATTCACGGGTCCAAAGATCCAGCATGTCTTCCCTACGTTCTACCGATCTCACTGATCCAACCTCCCTCCCCCTCCCCACTCCACCTCTTCTCCCCTGTCCAAAACCTCACCAGCCCCTCCGCCCCCACTCTTCCCTATACAAATTCGCGATATCCACATTGAGCGGGCTCTCCGCCACCGGATCCAACAGCAGTTGCTGTACAGCACTCAACGTCGAAGACAAGGTGTATAGTGGACTCCAGTGTTCCGTGGTCAGCAGTGTGAGGCAGATCTCGCCAGTCGAGAAGTTGATGTTGGGGTGGCAGATGGGGGTGAGAAAGGTGAGTTTGGGAGGGAGTAGAGGATAAGACGGTGGAATGGAGATGGAGAGGAGCCAGAGGCCGCCGGCATAAAGAGAGGAGGGGGGTCCTTTCAGGACGGCTTCCCACTGGAGCAGGTTGGTGTCGGAGGTGGGGCCAAGGTGGAGGAGGGCGGGGTTGGGATGGTGGGTGTATTCGGTGATTTCGTGGAGGAGACGCTTTGTTGCTGTGGAGGAGGAGGAGGAGGAGCCGGCTGTTGTTGTCGCTGGAGGGGATCTGCTTTTGGGCGGGGTTGCGGTGGAGGAGGAGTGCGATTTGGGCATGGTGAGGGTGAGGTGCGATTGAGAGGGTTGTTGAGAATGTCGTAGACAGGAGAATTGTTTGCGAATACAGCTCACTGAAGGAAAGAAATAAGAAACCTGCTGTTGGTAGTAACTAGTATTTGGTGTTTGTTGGACCAAAAGGACTGCCGCCTCTAAAGGGCCGTAAACTACTACGGTAGGAGGTATAAGTATTGTTAGCTTCAAGCTAGAAATTTTGTATTTAATACAGCCTTGACGGATTTACACTTTACTGGAACGACGTTAGCATGTATAGTTCTCAGAACAGAGCTAATCATCATGATAAAACACTGGAGTCCACTATACACCTTCTCTTCGATGTTGAGTGCTGTACAGCAACTGCTGGAGGATGCCGGGAGCTTGTATTTAAAAACTAGCCATTTCTAGCTTACGCTAACTCTTCTTATGCCTCCTTCAGTAAGCACATTCTACTAGCAGCTACTCTACTTTGTCTGACAAGCTTTCACCGGCATTGGTTAAGCAAAGCTTTGCATCCAGCTCCTCCAATCTAGCCTGAGAATGACGCCGCCTATGCTCCTGCTGTTCAGGAAAGCTCAAGACTCATCAAGCATTTGCGCGTCGTCGGAGCCTTCTATCAGACTTGTGTCATATCTGTTGGTCGATGGATGACAATTATATACACTACAGGGATCATCATCCAACATGGATGGAGATTCCTCGATATTCCCAGCTTGCTGAAAGCGTAGCTCACTTACAGCTCAATGCCTCACGATCCAGCCAATGACCACAACACTTGCACCGATTCTCCCCAGATGCCTCGGTCCTCCGCCCCCAAAGCGGCTACATCAGGCTAGAAGTCGCTTCAACTATGATGTGTGCACCTGGAAATGACTTAGATAAAAATTCTAAGACTAGGTGTGTAAGCTCTTTTCATTGTCACATGTGTTCTCAAGCATAGTTTATTACACTAAGCGATATATTTCCAGACTCTTAACTGGGCCCGGTCTGATACGTTTATTGCATATCTGGTCTTAATCAGCTTGTCTCCAGGTCACGCTATACTTATTTTCATGTGTAAGCATGTCCGGTGTCGAGGTGGCCGGAGCGGTTATGGAGGCTGGCACCTGTGTCAAAGCTCTTGTCCACTATTGGAAAGGCATGGTATCATGCACCTAAAGAAATCGAGAATCTGAAAGAGCAGATCCAACTGGCAATTGATGTCTTGCAGGATGTGGAGCAGACCTACCAGCAGTTCACATCAAAACCACAGGAAGAGCTAAAGCTGCCAAACGCTCTGATAAGTGCAATCACACAATTCAAGGGTTTAGTCCAGAAAATCAAGAATAAGTTTAGTGGCAGGACTCGCCGTATCAAATGGCTGGCGTTGAGGTCGGATATCAATAATAATATTAAAGCTATAATGGAATGTTATGCTATATTTCAACTCTCGATGCAGACCATGCATATGAAGCTTCAACAACAGCAAAGCACGAAAGAGGATGTCAGTAAGTTGCAAGAAGCCGTCGACATGAATCAAAGATGGTCAATATTTCGGGATAATATCGATTGGCTGTTTGAGCCAGGAAGCGTGGTGCAAGAGCCTGAGTTTCGGAATGAGCTTCAGAGTTGTCGGTACAGTGAGCCCAGATGGATATTGGAGCAAAAGGGGTACGAAGATTGGCAGTTGGACTCCCCAAACACATCAAACTGGCTTTGGGGACTTGGTCGCCAGGGCGCGGGCAAATCGACCATAGCTTCTTTCCTTGCGCACGAATTACGACACAGGAAAGCTTTGACTCGGAAAGATTCGCGATTAGAGGTCCCGCGTTATACAAATCCCAGAGTTACGATATTCTATTGCAGCTACTCAGAACAATCTAAGCAAGACGTAGACATGATGTTCAGGTGCATCAGTCGTCAGTTGCTCACACAGCTCAGGACCGTGGACCCTTCGAAAACTCTCGAGAAAAGTGAACTCGTCAATCAGTTGCGGGATCACAGCATACGGCAGGCCGAGATTGCACATTCGGATGAAAAGGAGTTTCGTCCCGTGGACACAAAGTCTCTACTCGTTGAATTACTACATGATTTTGCGCGTCCATATATCATTATCGATGCCCTTGACGAATATCCAGGAAGTATCGGTGAGCTCTTGGACCAGTTAGTTCAGCTCTCTGCAACCTCCGTGAGACTGTTCGTGACCTCAAGAAATGGAGACGGAGGATTGATGGAAGACCGCGCTGCCAAACTGAGAGCAAACATTCTACATATCACTCCTTCAGATGAAGAGATTTGTTCCTATGTTGGACCAAGGCTTGAATGGATCTGTGATGGGAAGGACAACTATCTGAGCGCTCGCTCAACACTTGTGGAAAGACTCCAGAATGAGCATAAGCGGAAGGCAATAGCACAGAAGATTACTTCGAGCGCCGATGGGAGCTTTCTACTTGCTACGTTGCAGATCACTACCCTGAGGGACTCAAGGGATGACGATGAGCTTGAAGAACGGTTGAACGATATGCCAAGTTCACTTGAAGGTATTATCGATGATGCAATCAGTCGCATAGAAAAGCAAAATGATCGTGTCAGTCGTTTTGTTGGTCAGAAAGCGCTTCTCTGGGTGACTTGCGCAAGGCGTCCACTCACGGTACCAGAACTAGCTCAATGTCTGGCGACATATCGCTATCTAGGGCTTGGTCTTGGACCGGCAAATATTCAAACAAAAGATTGCCCGAAAGCAGAATCGCTCGTTGAAGCAACAGGCTATTTCCTTCACATCGAGGAGAATACTACGACAATACGGGTCCATGAAGCGATACGGGGGTACTGCAAGCAAAGCGGTGTGAGAGAGCGGTATTTTGTAGACGCTGAATATGAGATGGCTCAAGTCTGCCTTAGATACTGGACTCTGGACAGCTTCTCTTCTGGACATTGCACGTCTGAGGAAGAATGGCGGCGCCGATGTCAGCAATATCCTTTTCTGGACTATGCGGCGAGCCATTGGGGATCGCATATGAAACTAAGCCCGCAAAGACGATTTCTGAATGATCCGAGATATCCTATATTGGAGTTCTTAGATATGACAGGACCAATCGCATCTGCTGGTCAGGCTTTATGGCCCAACCCAAACACCTCAGCCCTACCGCTGTACGCGCCTCAAGCCCATGATTGGCCTTCGTTGAAGCAGAATAGTCATCCCATTATGCCAGCATTACACTTATTGTCATACTTCGACCTCCCTCGTATAGCGGAGAAGTGGATCGATCAGGCAAAGAAGGAGGTTGACCAGCCTTCGCACCAAGGTGTTACACCATTGTTCCTAGCATGCCAACTAGGGCGGCAGGCCATGGTTGAGCTTCTGCTGAAACACAAAGCAAATCCTACCCGAGGAACGGGGCACAAGCCTTCAAGCCTCATCCCAGCAGTACGACACGGTCATGTAGAAGTCGTCAAAGTCCTGCTCCGTCACGAGCCAGCCAGCCAACTTGTTCGCTTGGGGAATGCTTGGCAAAGGCAACCACTTAGTATAGCAATTGCTAATCAGGGGAAGGAAATGGTGCAAATTATCCTTGGTTTCTTGGACACCCTTGACGACGGCGAAATTCTCCTTCTACATCAAGATGACCAGGGATACGGCCCCCTCCATGTGGCCGCCAAATGGAACAAGACTGATGTTATAGGGATACTTACGAAGCGTCCAGGCGGAGAAGCTCTTCTACACCAACGCGGCAGGTATTGGCAAGACACCCCGTTACATTTAGCCACTGTGGCGGCCAATGGGGAGAGCATCAAGACTCTCATCAAGCTCGGAGCAGGTCTTGCTGCAACCCAATCACAAGGTAAGACACCACTACATTTAGCCACGCAATATCCCGAAGTTCAGCATGCTAGTATTGTCAAACTTCTTTTGGAAAGTGGTGCGGACCCAGGTCTGCAGGATAAGAATGGAAGAACGCCAATACATAACGCAGTGAATCATGGCCATGCTGGAATCCTCCAGACAATATTGGATGATGGACATACAAAGACTGTGGATGTCCAAGACCTAGATGGTCGTACTGTCCTACATTGCGCAGTGAATGACCGGAAAGGAGACTACTTAAGAATGACTCGAATGCTTCTACAAGCAGGTTCAGATGCTTTGGAACAGGATGGAAGTGGACAAACTGCCCTTTACTATGCTATTGCAAGTCGTGACAGAGGGCTAATAGACGCTTTTCTCGATCATCCTCAATACAAGAATGAGATCTTGTTTATCGGCATAAGGTCGGACCAGCCGTGGCTAGTTGAGCGTTTGCTCAGTGGCCCAACAGGTACATGGCCTCCTCTCCACCAAGGCCAGACGACGGTCCCCACGTGGCTGCGCAATCAGGTTCTACCGAAGCTGTCCATCTCACTCTTAGGAGAGACACGAACAAGGAGTCACTTGAAAAGGGAAATGCTTGTGGTAGAACGCCTCTAGACGCCATTCATCCAGTGTTTCCCAGCCGAGACTGATGCGCGAAGTCCGCCGTTCTCTAATCAACATAACCAAAGCAGACGATGACCATATCTAAGCCCAGGTTCCTTTGATTTTCGCCGAGGCTCACCTTCTCACTCGAGCCAGCCATCCCGAACAGTCACGATCAGGGTTTCTCTGATCTAGGGTCTTGATTCCACTTGTTATGGCAGTTGTATCAGGTTCGAAGTCTATAGACTTTGTGATGGCGCATCAAACCGGCCGAGCACTGAGCTCATCCACACTATCCATGCAACGTGCAATAAGGAGTAGCACAGCACTGTCCCTGGGATTCGATGAGATGTTGAATATGGACACCTTAGGAATGGAATTCAACTGCGGAAAGAATTTGCTGAAGCAGGAAGTTAAGCAATTCCTACAAGATCTGAGACACGGCAATGGAGTGATTGCAGTCACCAATCAGCGCTCTTAGAATGGAGCAACATAGTAAGGAACATAGTAAAAGGGGTGCCCCATTTTCACTGCAGCATGGGGCAGCTCATTTCAGCCCACAGCCGTGTAGCAAATTGTCATGATACTGGCATCGGTCGTAAACTAAGAAATTAGGTGGCGTGAGCCAAAGTGCATAACTAGAGCTGCCAAGTCCCAGGCTCAGCGACACCAAAGAGGCCTGTGCAGGGATGCCCTGGGGAGCTTGGTCCCAGCAGTGAATATCGTGACCCGACCTTGAATGTACAAACTGGCTGGTCGAGATGCGCACATCCAGAGTCTCCAAGGATACGACTAAAATATTCAATGCACTTTCGCCCAACCGTGTTCGACGCTCTACCCGGCAGGCAGCAAGGACAATCTCGACGTTCACTCTGGGCCATGCTGGCAGCATCAATATCAAGTCAGAGGATACACAAGAGAGCTCCTCATTGGAGTCTGCGCCCGAAACCAATTTCAGCACCGATATCGAAGACAGCCTGACCGCTCCGAGATGTTCACACAAGCGAAAGAGAGGCAGCGATTCTCCTGCAACCACGATTGCCTCAACCGCGACCGGCCCAACCACCTCGAGGACACGGATCTCTCCTCGCAAACGACTCAAACCAGACACCAGCCAGCCCAACAACGATGATGCCGCCACCGCCACCACCTCGTCCCCAAGCAGCTCCCGAGCAAAAGCGCTCCCGAAAACTCGCGCCCGCAAAACCACCCTCCCAGACGGCAGCGAGCAGATCCAACCCCCCTCCAACTGGTCGACCGTCTACGACATGATCAAAGCGCAACGCCAATCCAACCCCACCGCCCCGGTCGACACCATGGGCTGCGAAGCTACCACATCCTGACCGCGCTCATGCTGTCGAGCCAAACCAAAGACACCGTCACCGCCGCCGCGATGCAGAGACTGCACACCGAACTCGTTCCGCACTCCCAACCCCAAGACGTAAACGAAACCGAAACCGAAACCAAAGCCCGCAAACCCCACAGCAGCAGCAGCAACAGCACCCTCACCATCCCCAACATCGTGTCCAGCAGCCCGCAACACCTCGACTCGCTAATCCGCACCGTCGGCTTCCACCACACCAAGACCAAGCACCTGCAGCAGACGGCCTCGATGCTAGCGCAGCAGTTCGACAGCGACGTGCCGCGCACGCTGGCGGAGCTGCTCTCGCTGCCGGGCGTCGGCCCTAAGATGGCCTTCCTCTGCCTCAGCGCCGCCTGGGGCGTCGACGC